AGTAGTCATCGGAATTTTTACCGATATCGGACAAATCCGATCCGATTGGAATGTCAAGAAGCCCGACATTAGCATCGGCAATACTGCTACTCTGGAGCGCATTCGCTTGCAAAGAAAAAACCATCCGACGTCGTGCCGCGGCGCGGACCGGGGCGAATATTTAGGGAGGAGGGAGAAGAGGGAGAATGCATATTCAAGATCGTAACGATGCAATTTCGATGGCGCATACATAATGAGAGTCTCTCGAGAGCGCGGCGCGCCGGCTTGCTCGGTTAATATCAACCTTTCTGCACAATGGTCCTATCACGAGAAGACTCGGAAGAAATTTCGATGTTCAACCGATGGCGGTTGCATTGTCATACCTCGCGCTCCGGCTCAACAAAGACCGTTTGTGCAACGCAGCGTTGCTGGCTGCTGCTGTTGTTGCTGCCGCCGCGCTGCCAAGGAGCAATGAACGAAAGTGTGCGGTATTGACGTTGAAAAAGGAAGAACAACGACATAATCTCAAATCATCATGCAGGATGAGTATCCGGCCGGCGAAACTGCCTCCCCCCCCCCTTCTTATTCGAGAAATGCAGTTTTAACCCGTTCATTAATCGTTGAACACATCTTACGCTTCCGGTTCATCCATTCTCGGCGATGTCTTGACCGAGTTGACAGTACCACGCGATCGGTAACACGACTCTGTTCAAGGGAACACTAAGACCGCGGAAACAATAACGGCGCGTTGAAAGCTCGATTACAGAGCTCGATTACGAGCGCATATTACGGTGTTGTTACAGCTTGATATTGCAGAATGCATTTGTTAACGGGTATAACGTATTCTGTTATAACGAGAACCACATTATATATATGCACTCTACGTTGCATAAAAAATATTCTGCATTACGGCATTACTGCATTCTGTGGCACGTATACACTTATCCAATCATGCATAAAAAATAGATATGTAATATAAATATTTTAAAACATTTTTTTCTAAAAAATAAGGAAGATGTAAATCTCGGAGAGCTACTGTGCGTAATTCTCTCTTTTTCTCTCTCTCTCTCTGACGCGTTTCATAATAAATTCTTCCTTCCCCCCTTCCTTGCTCCTTTTTTTTTCTACTCCCTTTTTCCTTTCTTATCACGAAGTGTCGCGAAATCGCTTCGAGCTTCGATAAAAGCACGTCGGGTTATCCTCCCGTCAATTAGCGCGATCGCTGTAGCGAAAAGGGAAGGAAAGAAGGAAGGGGGAGGAGGTTAATTTCGATGTCCCCACGGCAGCGAGCCCCCGAGATTCGCACCTCGAGAGGGAGCGTCATCGTCGTATTACGGCCGAATAATCTCCTTTATCGTATCTCGATCCCGATTAATTTAAAAATATGCACGCGTTAACGACGCGCGTACAGTGTATCGCACGCATTACGCACGCGAGGAGGAAGGAGGGGGCGAGCGGGACAATCGGCTCGCGAGAATCCTGCGAAGGACATCCGTGTGCTGGGTGCTCACGCGTTCGCGCGATGTTATCCCCCTTTTCCCCCCATAACAACACTGACGAAGAGAAGGAGGATGCGGACGACGGACGGGGGAGGGGGAGCGTGAAGTCAACTTTACGACAATATAATTTTGGTAGCGACACACACGGACGGCGTGGAATGCGACGATCGGAGTCAACGAACGGCGTATAGAAGTCTTCGATACGTCGTAAATGCCCTCTCCTCCCCTTCTCTCCCTCATCCTTTTCTCCCGAACCCGCCGTATAACAGGGTTCTTCTGGTGACGAGCTATATGGGGTGTTTCGCGAATATCGCGACATCAAACCTTGCGAACGTGCCCCTCGTTATGGATTTTTCGATTCGCTATGATTATTTGACAAATTGAAATTAAAGATCCGAGATTTTCTCTGCAATGACTCTTTAAAAATCGATTTCACGTTGGCTCTATTATCATAGAACATTAAAGTCGAATTTAGATTTTCGCAGAGTACTGCGTTATAAATTTAAAAATTACGGTAAAGCAAGAAAGAAGAGAAATCTTCGTTACGGAAAAACTGTCTTCAGAATCGCGGGATAAATTTTAGCGAAAATTTCGCAAACACCCTGTGCGTTGTCAGGATGCTCACATCTTTTTCTGTCGCGGATGAAAAATTGGCGAATCCCAAAAATACACTGACGATGGTCGACTGATCTTGTCGCCAGCGAACAAAGCTCGGTAAATCTCCGTTATATTGCTGATCGAACGAGACTGACGGAGATCGAGATGACCGTGACGATCGCGTTGTCTCCGAGATACATCCATAAATTTCGGCACCGAATATTCCCCGGGAACAGTCCCGACTGTATAGGTCGGATCAATAACCGCATAAAGCGCGGGAAGAAAGAGCGTGCAATGGCACGTTTCGCAGTATTCAGTCTCAGAGCGTAAACGTGCGTGGACTGAGGAACAAGTTACGAGAGTCGGAATATAAAATATAGAGACTTGCGATCACGTCGCTGTGTTTTTCCACCGAGCACGAGGGCAACTACCGCGCGAAACTACCTTACGCGCTTCACTTTTTCGTCTTCCTCGACTTTTCGCGCTATGCGCTGATACACTCGATTTCGAGATGTATGAAATATCGTTGCTTAAATGCTTCCGCGCGAAAATACTTCATACATAGCCAGAAAAGATCAGAAATGATAACGGTCAGAAAAGAATTAATTTGTTCAATTGTATCAATTGAATATACTCATATATTACAAGTATGATACAATGATGACAATATATCTCCGATTCAAGTGTCATAATTGTTTAAAAGACTTCCAAAAAATTGTAATAAATTCTTAACGATTTTATCTATAATTATAAACTTGCGTCTTGCACCGTTCTTAAATTGTAAAAAAGATTCATAATGACATATAATTTTAATATTTGCACATTTTTATATTTTACCAAAGAAATTTCGAAAACTCAATTCACAAAAGAAGTTAATGCTACTGATATTTCTCATATCGTATGTTACCAACTCCAAGGTTCTCTAACGTATAAGAACGGGTGTTCTTGCCTTAGATAAGGCACCGGATGATAAACCGGTGCAAGGCCCGTCGCCGAAGCGCGAAGGGTGAAACGGTAAAAAGACGTGGAGCGAAAGAAACGTTCCGTAAAGTATTGTTTTACTTTCGGTGCGTTTCCCGATAAAATCGCGGCCGACCCATCAGCGGGCCTCGTTTGAAACCGAGAAGGAACCGATGGTTCGTAAAGAGCGCGCCGCCGAGAGACAGTTCACCTCGGTCCCGATTATATATCGGGTGAGTCGGTGCTCGCTGGAAGCCCCGAAGGGGCTGCTTCGATCGAGAAAGAGGAAGAAAAAAGAGGAAAGAGAGCCTATTGTCGTGCTTAATTTAGTGTTAAATTGTTTACATCTCATTAATCGCGGGGGTCGACAACGGTGGAACCTGGTGCAGCGGAGACTGTCATGATCATCGATGCACGCTCACTCACGATGGGCGCTCCTCCCCCTCTTGAACCCTTTCTTTCGGGAACATCATTCGATCACGAACACTCTCGATTCTCGCGCATTCTCGAAATGAGAGCGTCTTTTCCGTCTATCTCGTTTCACGGCAAGCCGCATCCGTTTATTGTACGTCCGAGTTCCGCACTCGATTCGATCCGAACAGACCTCTCTTCTCGCGTGTATATTCCATCTCGATAGCCGACAAAACGACTTTGGATCGGTACACTCAGAGCAATTTCCATTCGCGCGACCGTCGAGCTTGCAACGGCGGTAGCGGTACAGTTAAACTGCATTACAGTCAGAACGATATCGGCTAGTTTTGATTGCGCATCGAGTATCGGTGAAGGGATCGTTAAGGAGATAGTCGAATTTCCATAACGAATATATTACGTTAATGTTCTCTTAACACTCGCGCGCGGAAATGGAATTGGCAAATGACATGAAACGTTCCGCCTAAGATAATGGAGTCGTATGTTTATTTTTTTTTTTTAAATAGCAAAAAGATCAAAAAGAGAAAATTATGTACAAAAGAAAATATTTCTCTCATACGAGCCGCGATTGTATAACATTTCTAAAATAAATAAAATATTTAAGTCAGTTATTTTAAACGAAAACTGCATACGCGCGTTCAGATTAAATTTTGATATTTTAATGCCTTTTACACGTGTATATACATTAGGACGCACGATAAAACGTATGTTGATTAATACCGTATATCCAGCGATAAAGAACGTACACTTGTGCGCGCAAGTCTTGATAAACATGTCTCATAAAATTAAAATACTTGGCAACACAATTTATTTGCCGATACAAACCGCAAAAATACGCATTTATCGGCGATCATAAAATATTTTTAACCGCACGGCTTTTCCGTCGCCGCTTTAGTAAGCTCGTAAGAGTTTACGGGCTATGATCATAGCATAATTTCACATAATGAGAACTCCGGTACTCGATAGGTCGGGGGGAATACTGCGACTATCTACATAGAATCTCATGCTATCGGCTTTCAATAAGGTTGATAAAGTCAACTACAGGGAGACGCGCGAGAGGAGCGAGTCAAACGCCTATAAAGGAGATGCAACTCGCGAATAATTCACTCATTATCTGCGCCATCTCCTCTCGGCCTCAGCAATTTCCAAAGAACATAGTCAGTCGACTGTGTGCGTGTGTTTTAGCAAACACGATTATATCGTGCAAATCTGGCTTCTTAAGATTAATACATGTTGCGATCCTGATACTGTTTTAATTAAATGTTCCGCAAATAATTGGCAAATAATTCATTAGAATCTTTTTCAGTTTGAGGGAATGGTACTGTACACAGATATTTGTGTAACCGCATATATTACGATCTATTACCAGATGTTTAATTCTTCCCTTATCGTAAATTATTTGTTATAAGAACAAAAAATTACGTATGACAAAAAAATAATATATTCATACGTATCTTTCAACTTGTGAATTTTCAAGTATCGCAACTCTTGAAAATCGTTACTTGATTTATATAAGCAATGCATATGTAGACTCACCAGTTAAATGACTTCCGGTGAATTCGAAATCGTCGTCTTGATCCCAATGCTTCAGGCTCAAGTTTGATAAAGATGTTGCGTTGGCAAACTCCAAATTGGCAAAATGCCAATCCAGTATCTGCCGATCCTTGGACGATAAATAGACGTCACTGAACGCAAAAAAAAATATGTCAGTATATATAATTTAAGTTAATTTTGGATAATCTATAATTTGTGATAGAATTTACAACAGAAATCTATTTATATATATATAATTTTATGTGGCGCATAAAATAATATATATATGTATTTTAATATGTATTTTGTGTTTTAATTTTTTAAATGTTTTCTGTGTAATAATTATGCAATAACATATAAATTAACAAATAATTTCTTACAAATTATAGATTATTTAAAATAAAATTTCATATATGTAAAATATAACACATTTACCTGGGTGGTGAAGCCTCCAATTCTTGCAACTTTGCTTCGATTTCTTTCTGTTGATCTGATAGCTGATCCCATTCCTAAAATACAAAATAAGTGAATATATCATTACTTATCGCATAATATATTACTTATAACTGAGTTAAAAATGCATTATTAATCTATGTACCTTACAAGCATTATGGAGATCACGTAACTTAGATCGGAGCACAAATTCTTGCGTTATATCTCGAGTTTGTAATTTACTTTCCGTCATTTCCTTGTATTGTTTATTCAATTCCACCAAACGGTCCATAATGGAAATCATCTACAAAATAAATTATAATTTATTCATATAATTTCATACATTTCAGTTTAATTATATCATTTCATATATATCACATTGAATAATATTTAATCAAAAAATAGTTTTTAATTGTACATACTCTGTGCTGATTAGTAACTAATCGTCCTTGCAATGAGAGTACAGAACGCAAATGCGCTACTTGGCGTTGCTTTACGCCTTGTTCTTGTAAACGTATCACCCATTCTAATGCTTGACCTAAGGACACTGGACGCGTATTACCGCCTTGTCCTCCAGATCCTGCACTATTTACATAATTAAAATCTAATTGATGCGAAAGATAAGAAGTAGCTTCCAGTAATCTATTAAACTCTCTTTCGACCATTTCATCTTTATCTTTTGGAACCTGCAAAAAAATATAATACATATTCCGTTTAAACTTTGACTTATGATTTTAGTATATATATTTATGTATATATTAATACATATTAATAGCATAAGTAGCATAAGGTAATATTTAATCTTCTTGTTGTTAAGAATAATTATAATAACAACTGTATTATATTTTATAATGCACAATAGTAATAAAAAAATCAGATATATATATATATAATTTTTTTTTTCTTTATTTTAATAAATATAGCATGAAAAAAAATATATTTAGCTTTAGAAAGAGATGGCTTTGATGGACAACCATTATTTCTCTGTAATGTGGCAACATCTGATGAGAAGGTCATTGGTTATACTATCTTTTATTATACCTATTCTACATGGGTCGGGAAAGCTATGTATCTAGAGGATATTTATGTGACACCGGAGTTTCGAGGGAAACATGTCGGCCTCAAGCTTCTGAAATCTGTCGCAAAAGTACGTTTAACTAGAAGTAGATATGCGACATGTATCTGATTACAAAATCTTTGCAGGAAGCAGTCGAGAATAATTGTAAAAGGTTGAATTTCGTGGTTCTCAAATGGAACCCAGCACAGGAGTTTTACAAAGTACTTGGAGCTAGCGATTTGACATCTGAAGAACAGTGGCATTTTTATAATTTCTCCGACACAAATTTGAAAAAATTAGCATCTGATTCTGAATAATACAAAAATCAAAATATCCTGATTATATAATATATTGATAATAATAAATTATCTCATAAATATGAATAAATGTCTCTAATGTGTATTCCAAATATGTAAACTTTAAATAATTTGTTATAATTTTAATAACAAATTTTGTGTACATAATTTGCAAGATATTTAATGGATGGATATTATTAAAATTCACGTATATATTCTTGAAATGGATGAATATTATTGAAATTCACATATACACAATCGCCTATTGCCCGCATACGAGAATCGCCCGATATTTTTCTCGGCGCATCTGATACTTATCTCAGTATTTTCGATGCTATACATATGTTTATTTGTAGATAATATATTTATTTTCTAATTTTACCAATACATTTGATGCAATGCTTGAAACTATGGTCGCGCGGAGTTTTCTTCAAAGAATTATCACAAGTTTACGGTATCGATGCAATATATATTGTGTTTACGCATAATACTGTAGCTTAATGATTGTAGCTTAATATTTTTATCAGCACTCTCAATATTTTTCCCGACATTTCTGATGCAATTTGTGGTATACCCAATATTTTTCTTTTCGGTATTTTCGATTAATTACCCGCACGCGCTTATTTGCGAATGGTATTTATTCTATTCCATATTGTCAAGCGTATTATTAATAAAGTCACTGAAAAATTTAGTTTTCGAGAGTAAATATCGCTTGCAAGAAAACTTATATTGAAAGTATGGAAAAAATATCGAACGACTGCGAACGCGTATGACGATTTCATCAAGTGCGAACTCGATGTAATCATAATGCCAAGCATTATGATCCAAACATATTAAATTTACCGGAAAATTAAGTTGCACCGAGAAATTAATTCAGTTTCTATGCCTATAAATATATACAATATGCGAGTTTTGAAAGATTCAGAGATAAAATCTTTATAATAAACATATTTACCCAATTATTCTCGTGATGCTCAATCATTCTCCCGCGCTTTCCCGCGCCAATGACCGTTATAAATTATAACGCTCTTGCGTAGTTTTCAAAGGAAAATCAGTCTAGGCAACCTTTTGATCTGTTTTATTCAGGGTTGTGTTCAAAAATCTATCATCGTAAAGTAACATTTGTAACGTCAAATGGAATGTAATTTTAGAATAGATAGATCAAATTACTGTCTCCAGAAGCAGAAGACAGTAGAATTTAACACAGTGACATTATATCAGAATAAACAAAAACAATGGCATTACAGGTATAATATTGTCTTATATTATTTATTATTATCTTTTATATCTTTTATACAGATTATATTTGAAGAAATTTAATTTTAATCATATTTTTTATTTTTTTTTAATCTTTGTAGAAACAACTGTACGAATAAGATGATATATGAATATTATCCTGCTTATATTTATCCTAATTATTTATTCCTTATTTATTATGAATGTTACAGACATTAAGTGGATTGCTTGGTACTGTAAATCATTGCAGAAAAGTACCTAATAGAGGATTTTTCTATTGGTTAACAATAATATTTAACAGGTATTTATATATAAATTATTATATTGAAGTGTTATATGGAACTATTTGTTTATATACATAATTTTTAAGCTAATAATCAGTAATTATTTTGAGGGTTGATCAAGAAAGAATTCAATCGGTTGGTCCAGATCGTGCATGTGCTGAATGGCTCTTGAAGAATGGCGCCAGCGTGAAATGGAAAAATTTTTCGAAATATTTGGAAGATTATAATAGTTTACCACCGGAAAAAAATCAGTATTGCATTCAAGCTGTAGATGCTACGGACTCTGGAATAACTCATGTAGGATTTCCGTATTTCGGTTAGTGTCATAATGTGTAAGCAATAAATTCATAACATTATTTGGCTATTCGGCAATGAGATATTGTAAGAAAGAGTTTTTGACAATAATATATATATATAATATACTTGATATAGTTTGAAACAATATATATGAAATAATATTAGTCTAAGATTTTTTAATGGCTAGAACAGTTTATGTATACTGTTGGTATTGGTCAAATGTGCATATGTTTGATACTAAAAAATATAAATTACTCAATTGAAAATTTATTTACATATTGTAAATAAATTGTCAAAGAGCAATTATAATATAACTATATAGTATTTACTGTTACAATATTTGTACTTATAGAAATTCAGTTGGTTGCAGGTATATTGACGAGATAAAACTTGTACGTTGTTCTTATTTGTATAACACTGCCTTGCCATTGTTATCAGTGGTGAAGGATACTTTGACTACACTTGAAATCAGAGATTGTAAGAGTATAACTGATCAAGGAATACGTAGTTTGAAAAATCTAAAGTATGTATTTTATATATATATATTATTAATAATAAGATATTATATGATATAAAAGCTGTTTTTTGTGTATGATATTTCTAAATTAAGAAAACATTCAACTTTCTAATATCAGGTTTTGTTCTTGTATCTTATAGAAATCTGAAGACTTTGAAGCTTGCTGGGATGCCATATTTGGAAGATAAAGCTTCGCTCAGGAAAGAACTTACAGAGGCCCTGCCAGATTGCGCAATCGAACTCAAATAAATTATATAAAGCATCAATTTTTAATTGTCTTAATATCTATATAAAATAATAAAATCTGTATAAAAATGTATAAAATCTGTATAAAATAATACATTTCTTATTAATATGTGTATATTTTCTAAAACATTGTTAGTATAATAAATAATACAAATATTTAAAGCAATATACAGTAGGATTCCTCTAAATTTGGATTCCTCACACAATAACTTTGATTTTCCTCTATATTCTTTCGTGTTGTATCATAATAATTATATATGCTTATGATCATTATTCATAATATATAGGTCTGTTCGTATAAAATCCGCTCTCTATAAATTCAGTACTTTATGTTGGATATATGCATGTGCATCTTGTATGTTGGCCACACTTGTTCTCACAGATTTGAAGTTTCGCACAATTCTTTCTTCCAGTTTTTTTTTTTTTTTTCAATCAAATTTCAACTGATTTGTTTTAACAATGCCACAAGAAATGAACGTTTTGTGTTGTTATTCTTGCAAAATGTACCAAGTAAGCATAAAATAGGTTGTTAATATTAACATTTGTTATAACTTGTACTTTACTTTGTATCTTTCTTATATTTTTGTATTTTTATAGGTACATATAGTTAAAAAAGCACCCAAGTGGAACTGCAAGTTGTGTAATGCAAAACAATCTGTACAGCAGGTACTTATTTAAAAGATCATTAATGATGACAACTATGACTTTTTATGATAACTTCTTATGTATTTTGTGATTAAATCTTAATTATTTATATTTCTAGATATATTTTCAAGGATCTGGACGAGATTGTCGTCTTCATGTCCAACAATTGAATGCTATGAAAGCAAATAATACATTCTTTATATCTTCTGAGCAAGATGATGCTTGTGACACATTTGCAAATATTCCTGAAGAATCGGCTAGTGACAACACTGAGAACAAATGGACAAAATATTTTGAATCATCAGAGACAGAAGATTTGGTTTTTGATAAGAAAACCGACGATATAACACCAGGTAAGGAATTCCTATGTAATAATATAAATAAAGATTTATTAAGTTTTGAAAAATGTTTAGATGATACTGATTCTGAAAATGAAGATGTTAACAATGAGACAAAGGAATTATGTTCTATGAGTTTTAATCGTAATTCCTGTATTGATGATAGCTGCGATATGCCAGATAATACTAAATCTAACGGGGATCATATCAATGCCGTCAATATTTTTGAGACTTATGATGAATTAGATGATCCTCTTGACCTTTGATTTTCTTAAATGATTCACAAATTTCTTACCTTTTCTATAATTTAACAAAAGGATAATAGCTATATATTTTATTGAAAAAACATGTAAGTTAATTTTCTGAAAAGTAACATTTTATTACAGAATTCAATGTATACAAAATTCAAAAAAATATTTGTTGAATTATTTCTTCCACACATGAATTTGTTCAACATCCTACAATTTCAATTAAACATATAAATTATTTGTCTACTTCTCATTGTCTATATATATACACATGTATATATGATTGAGTTTTTGTGGTAACTGAATAATCATTTTAGTTTAATGTACCTCTTCTCTTCTTATAATCAAAGAGAGAAATGTGTAGTATGTCATACCACATGGACAAAATGTTTATCTTCTAAATTCTAGACGATTTGAATATATATTTTCCTCCTATTACATTTGCTTCAATGAAAATAGATGAATAACAATTTAATATACGATACAGAGAATTTTATTAGGAAAAATAGAATGCTGATTAGAAAATTAATTACTATTGCTACATAGAATCTTAAGTTTTTATACAGCATTATAACATGTATCTTAAACAATAAATTAAATTTTCATAAAGTAGTACATAGTTATATCATCAAAAAATTTGTGAAATATAAAAACATAAATTATAGAAAACTTGTAATTATGCTTTAAGCAGCAATATTTATATGTTAAATTACACGTGCATATTATCTTCATATTTTTTCAGTAGTTATCTAATAACTTTTTTTTAAACATATGTATATCAGCATTTTACTTTCCCTAATATTGTACATTGCTAATAATTATATTCATTCTGCTACTAAAACAGCTGTGCATTCATTAAAGCAATATAAAATGGTGACATATCACATGAAATTAAAACAGGATTCCAAATGAAAATTCTACAATTATACGTGCAATGATATTTACAATTTTCATATAATCTTGAAAAAATTCTACTAAAAAGTTTAAATCATCCATCCTTGTTCTAGGATCAATATCAAGATATATAATGAATATCAATACTTGGTAAAATTTTTTGGCAGTGTGCATTATAAGAACATCTGTATTTTCATATTTTATATGAAGGCAATAGGAGAATTAAAAATTAAATTGGCAGCATTTGATAAACATTTCTTTCCAATTATTATGCAAATAATAATATTCGCAGAAAGATCACAATTGGCAAGGGAAGATCGAGTCATTTTTTTCGTTGTGCATTCACAGTCTTCTATTAGACAGTTGATTCTAATAATAATTTGTCGTATTCAAAAAAATTTTCAGCCAAAAGACGTTTATACTAGAAAAGGTAATAATATTATTTAATTAATTTACGAAGAATTGCCTTTATACATACATGTCATGCATATCTCGAAAATTTCGAAATATGATTAGACAAGCTTTTTATCTCAAATTTTTATTTATTTACTAAATATTTCCAGTAAACTTTCAAAAAGAGCGAATAATTTCTCATAAATAATATGAAATGAAATAAAATCACCTCTTTATGTCTTTAATTGTATAATCCCAATAATATAAAATTTATTTCGCATATCTATAAATTTAAATGAATGCTCCACATATAGTGCACATAAAATTCCTATAGCTAAATTCAATAGTTGCCACAAAATATTATATTAAAAACATGCATGATGCGAATGATGAACATCTACTATGGAGGATCGAAAGATTATTAATTTAAATATCACCATGGTATTCTTGTTATTTATCACTAAATAAATTAGACTACTAAATGCATTGCGAAATCAATGTATACCTAAGGCATTTTTCACGCGGTTGTTAAAGCGTATATAAAAAAAAAAAGGTATATTGATCAATATTGATGTCTATTGCTATGACGGCGGGGATTCATTGTATCTTGATGATGTCGCCAGCTACTTTGCCAGCTTCTATTGCGCCTATTCCAACTAAAATTTAAAAACGGTGTTACATATTACATATTAAACACTCATATATATATAATAAACTGTTCAAAAATTTTAAAAAATTTTAGATGATATTCTAATATAGATACTTGCTTTTGTAACTTCTTTCGTCTTTTATTTGATGGGCCGCCGAGTTCGCTTTCGCGTATAATTTGCAACGCCGAAGGTACAAATATATCTTCTATTAAAATAATTTATAAAATTTTTATGTTCTATAATCTAAATATATATGATATATAAATGATTGCTTATATCTTTGTGAAACGTACCGAACGCATCGCTATATTTTCTTTTCGAGATATATCGTTGATGTTGCTGTAGCTGTGGCATGGCCTCCCTAGCGCTGCCAACTGTACAATCCCATGTACCTTTACATCCCTTCAAATGCTCCAATTGATCGTGCAGATAGGATTTTTCAGAAGATGTCAAAGACGATATTCTATTCCACTGTTCAAATGGATCTAACAGAAATTAAGATATCTATCAGTCGTCTCTTTCTTGAAATTCCGCGCTTCTTAAGATTTCTTTTGCGTATACTTACCGATTCTTAAATTATAATACGTCACTAATCCCGTCGTGAACTCGCAGTAAAGGAAATTGTGCGTCACGTTGATTGTGCGTAGGCAGGAATATGTATTATTATTAGCATTCATGCAAAAACAGAATGGTCCCGCGTTCCACAAAGGTGCGGTACGCCAGTGATCGTTATCGTGCTCGAAACAGTTCATTCTCTCTGTCAGACATTCCTTCTCCAGCTTAGCCTTCTTCCTGAGCTTTCGCTCCTGCTCTTCCTTCAATCTGCGTCTCTCCTCTCTAGCCAATTCCTTCTCGTCTCTCTTCGTATCTGGCGCGCAGTAGCATTTGTGTCGAGCTTCTAATGGATTGTTCATTATCGGCGGTAAACGGCCGTTATTACTGATTGTGGTTATACCTATATTAAACATTATACGATGGAAAACCATTTAAAGATAGAAATTAGAACACCGATCGGGATCGTAAATATTTCATTCGCAATCTTACCCTGTTTATGTTTCCTGTCAGGAGCTTCGAGAATAGTAACGTCTATCCTCGCTGGTCCGAGAATTCCCGACGTCCTGTTCCTCTGTATCTTGGAAAACTTCCTCGGCAATGGCGTAGTCGTCGGTATCGTCAGGGATGTACTTCGAGATCGATTAGAACTTGAACCTTTACCAATAGTTGCGCTGGTTCTCGGCACGTTCTCTATTTTGTGTATCGAAGTCATCGTTATAGTCGTCCCCGATTCAGTAACTGCGATTGATTCCGTAATATGATCTTGATTCAAGTCGCTATTGGTCCTGGATACATCGATAAATTCTCGTCTCGCAGTACTTGCTTCCGTAATTGTAGTAGGAACAGTTGTGGATTTTTGTCGACCGTAAGTGTGTCTCTCGCTAGTCGTAGGATCTCGAGTTGTAGACAATGTTATATCGCTAATATCGGTTGTATTCACGCGAAGTACATCGTCGTGAACACTATTGGTAAGCAGCGTGTTGTTTTTACGATGGTGATGCACTTTTCTGCGTCTCTGCGGTTTATCCTCTTCGATTTCCGTTCTGTTTGCGGATGTTTCTTTAATCTTCTGGCGACGGGGCGTTTTCTTTAACTTAATCGTCGTTAAAATCGTCGTCGTTGACGTTTCAACACTAGTTTCGGTGGTAAAAGTCTCGAAAGAAGTTGTATTGTATTTATCGAGCTTTCCTTCCATCGATACTTTCTCGTTACTTAGAGTTGTGTCGATCTTCGTTGCGGATTCTGTAGTTGTCTCGCGATCCACGGTAGTGTGAGCAATTTTATCATGTTTTTTATGGTGACGACTCGTGTGACCCTTTGGCAGATGATGATGATGAATCTTACGCGAATCAAGAGTTTCTTCCGCGTCGGCGAGCTTCTCCTCATTGTCCACGAACTGCGGTCGTTTGATCATCAAGTGCCGGCGAATCTCCTGCAAACGTGTTTGTTATTATTACCGTGAAACTTTACTGTAAAAACGAATTAATTATCAATATAATTTACTTTCAACGTTTCCAGCTGCATCCGCATCTCCCGAATTTGCTGCTCGATCTCTCGTCTCGATATCCGCCATTCGTTAGGATCCTGATATACAGCTTCGGTACAATTTACGCCGCCTTCCGGTAAAACTAGACATTTTGGCGATAGTGTCTTCTCTATCTCGGATGTATGACGAACTTGAGTTTGCTATTGATAAGAATCGCAAATCGGCTTTTTACATTATCACGATAATACGTACAATAATTGTATTGAAAGTTGAGATATTTTGTTTTCCGAACCTTACCTTCAAGTCATCTAATTCTTCCTCTATGCTTTCCATAATCTTCGTGACGTGCTCTATAGAATCCTTCTTCGTAGCACTTCTCCGTACTCTCCGATGCCTTTTTATCACATCGTCTACATTTAGCCGACCTTTAATGATCTTATCCAAGGTGAGATCGAAGTCGTTTATAGTATAGCCGTAATCCAAGTAGTCAACGGCAAGTTTATCTTGCCTGTTGCTTTCATCGTCACGAACGTCCATGAATTTCATTCCATTATTATTTCTGAAATGCAAATGTCATTTATGATATTTCAATAATAAGCTAATTTCAATGCCGCGATATCTGATCATTTTCATACCTAGATTGTGCAGTCTCGTACTCTTCTTTCACTTCCTGTGTTAACAGATCTAGCTCCTGGAGGAAGTTTTCGTCATCTTCTTCGTCAATCGCACGGCTGTCCCGTTCGTCTTCCAAATTGAAATAATCGCCAAACTCCTCATCCGACACTTCTCGCTTGCCTATGTCAAATTATCTTTCTTATAATTATCTTATGATAATTTTATAACAATTATTACAAAATAATTTGAGATATTTTTTAAAAATATTAAAAATGAAGTTGACCTTAAAAATTTAAAATTTTTTGATAAGCATATACCTTTATTAATTCCTTAATTTTTGTATCTATGATAAAATATATAAATCTAAGATTTTTTTATCAGTTAAAGATATTCACCTCGTTTGTGGAGATATCCCGTCATGTCACCGTAAAAATCCGCGGGTCGGCGATCCCTTGAGGGACTGTATCTTTGCCCGTCGTAATCGTTAGATTCGAGCCTCGTGTACACCACTCCGTGGGGTGTGAAACAAGCGCACTTCTTGGAAACCCTTTGCGGTGGTGGCACCGCGTATCTACACTTGTGTCGTCGCCACCGGTGTCCATCCCTCTCGCATCGCCACTTCTGTCCGGGAAGACAATCGGCTTGCGTTTCCGGTCGCGAGCACTCCGCCGCGAGACGTTCGTGCTTCGTCGCGAAAGGTGTGTGCATAGCATGCACCCTATTGTCGAGATGCGGATCAGAGCCTAGAAGAACAAGTGTACAATATGTAATTCTATAACGAAGGATCTTTTTTTAATTAATTTCTCTCATCGACATACATATGTCTGCGAATTCCTTTTCAAAGGCATTTGCAAGCTAATTTTTATAGGAAAAATTTTTTATAAAAGACAATTTTTATATAGAGTGCACATGATTCCTTTTTTAAAGAATTCTTTGAAATTTCCATTTCTGAATGCATGATTGCTTCAAAAGAAAGAAACCAAGATGGTCTCAGAATGAAATAGATATTTGACCATAAAATATTTATGATATAGATAACACGAAAATTGAAATGGAAACAGACAATCGTAAAATTAAAAATGACGCGATATTGGAGCAACGAAATATTTAGCGAAATATTTAGTTTCGTCGAAGGTTTGCATCTGCAACGATAAAGAGGAATAATTTGACGATATTATTGCGAACTCTGTCGCGAGCGAAGAAATAAACTGCGATATAAGTACAGTTCTTGGAAGGTAATAAAGTAGAATTAGAATTGAACGTCGCATGTTTCCCTGCAAGAATCCCAAAAAAGAAACTACGCTTGTAAGACCACCTTCTTCGCCGCAATAATTCAACACGTACAAAAGTTATATCCTTTACGCAAGTTTGAGAAACGTTAAAAGAACATTTCGTGAGATATAAATATGTATATTTACATCGCTTTTATTCGCACTTTTTTTATCCTGAAAATATCCTCGTGACAAAGTGCTCGATAATCTCGAAAGATGTATATAAGAAGGCGAAAAATGTCCTGTCAATCCCAGGAACCGGGTACTTATGCTAATGCATATCAGGGAAAGAACTCGTTCTTCCACGCTTGTACATGTAATACGCAATATACAGCAGCTGGCTGTAACGGTAAGCTAAACTTATAATCCAACTGCTATGCGTTTGGAACATTTCTCTCGAGTCGAATCAAAGGATCTATCCATGTTTTTATGAAATCAATTTATTAACTAATACCACGGAGCGAAATCCGATTACGTGACTCGTATTAAAGACATTTAAGGATGTTAAGCTCTACTGAAAATTATTACATCGCAAATATCATCGGAAATGCATGAAATGTGACAATGCACTATAATAATTAATATAAATTACTTAATATTCATGCAAAATATCGCGATTCTATCTTGCGCTTTTTACGCTTGAATAAA